AGGACATCCCTGTCGCACCCCAAGGTGTACAGGGAATGGCTCTGACTCCCGGCCACGTAGTTTTACCCGGGCCCGCTCACCATCATGAAGGTCCTTAATGATCGTGAGCAGAGGGTCAGGTACTCCAAAAGCACGAAGAACGACCCAGAACCCAGGCCTACTGATGGTATCATAGGCCTTGACCAGGTCAATAAAGCAGAGATGTAGGTCTTGTTGGAATTCCCTACACCTCTGCTGTAGCAGACGGACAGAAAATATGGCATCTGTGCAGGACCGCCCTTTCCTGAAACCGCATTGGGGCTCCGCAAGCCTCTCCTCAGCGTGCCTGGCAAGGCGATGCTGAATAATCCTTGCCAGGACCTTTCCCGGCACACTGAGGAGTGAGATGCCCCTGTAGTTGTTACAGTCTGTGCGGTCCCCCTTCTTAAAAAGGGGGACCACCAGGGCATCCTTCCAATCCTGCGGAACCCGTCCAGTGGTCCAGACTGTTGTTATGATGTCATATAGGGCAGTCTGTGCACAAACGCCACCCTCCCTCAGCATTTCGCTTGGGAGATCATCTCTGCCCGCTGCCTTTCCTGGTCTCAGACTCCGGATCGCCTTCAATACTTCATCAGCAGCTGGCACCTCAGCCAGCCACTCACAGGGGGTGACTTCATCCAATATTTGAGGCACCGCAGCCTCAGCAGGGTCATCCTCACTTTGTGCCATGATGTTTTCCTGGCTGAGGGATTTTCCCTCCCCCAGGACCTCACAGAAATGCTCAGCAAATCTGCGAACCTGTTCCTGGGGGTCGGAAATTGGATCACCGTTTTTTCCCCTAATGATGGTAATAGGTGTGGCGCTGCAGGTTACTTTTTTGATGGAGTTAAATAGAGATTTGTGATCACGGGCCACTGAGGCAGACTCCATCTCCTCAGCAACCCGCGACCACCACCCATCCTTGCAGCGCCTCACGGCTCTCCGAACCTCCGAGCGAAGGCTGCGGTAAGCCTCCTCATTCTCTGACGTGGGATTCTGTAGCCGATGACAGTGGGCCTGTCGCTTTTTCTCAACCATCCTGAACAACTCCTCTGTCATCCAGGGTGTCTGGGGAGGTCTGGACCGCGTACCCAAAGCAGCCATTGCAGCTGCATGAGTCACAGTCCTAAACCTCGCCCATTTACCCTCGACATCAGGAGGAGTCGGGGACGATGCCAATCCCAGCCGCAAGCGATGATGAAATTCTCGCTTGCAACTTTCATCAGATAACTGAGACCAGGCCACTTTAGGTTGGAATGGGGTCCTGGGTGTACACCCACCACCGGAGTGGAAGAATGGCAGGCGCATCTTACAGATGACTAGTCGATGGTCAGAGGGCAGATCAGCTCCACGGTAGGTCCTGGTGTCAAGGACATGGGCTCGCATTCGCTGGTCCGTCACTATGTAGTCCAGCAGATGTTCTTGCTTGGACCCGGCATGCATCCATGATGTTGTGTGGATGCGCCGATGCCGGAACAGCGTGTTGGTAATTACAAGCCCATGGGCTGCACAAAAATCTAGCAGCCTCCTACCGTTGTTATTGAGCTGATCTGGCCCATGCCCTCCAATCACTCCAGACCAGGTGCCAGTATCATGACCAACTCGGGCATTGAAGTCACCCAACATGATGACTCTATCCCGAGGGGCCACTTTAGCCAGCACCTGTGACAGGAGGTCATAGAAGGCATCTGACTCATCGGCTTTGCCTGCATCCCTCCACGGATGTTCATCTTCGGTGGGGGCATAAGTAACCACGACCACCATTCCTCGCCTCCGGTTGATGGGAAGGCGAGCCCAAAGTAGCCTGGGGCTTACAGCTTCCCACACCTCACCGCCACGCTCCCACGCCCCCTTCATTCTTTTGTTCAAAAGAAGACCCACACCCTGTTGTTTGGCAGTCTGCTGCCCCGAGTAGAGGACTGTCCACCCCTCATGGTGGCAGGAGCCAGAGCCGGTCCACCGGACCTCCTGAATGCCGCATAGATCCAGGCGGTACCGGTCCAGCTCCCGACAGAGGAGTGGCAGCCTCTCCTCTGCAGTGAGCGTTCGAACATTCCACGTGGCCAACCGTAGTGGCTTTTCGTTGTTTCTGGAGTAGCCCCGAGGGTAGGTATTCAATCTCCTGGCTCCGCCAATTGGGGTTTGGCCAGGAGACGTCATAGACGCCTGGCCCCCCGGGGCCTCCGGCACAAGCTTAGTTGTTACATATTTCAGTTTAATTCGTAGTTTCGTGGTAATTAATTGAAGGTGGAGGGGTTACCAGCCCCTCGCACCCGTCCAGAGCCCCCGTTTAGCCCCTGTGGTGGACACATATGCCATGAGGGGAGGAGCCAATCAAAATTGGATCTCCCCCCACAGCACTGTCCACGACAGAGTTGCCCGTACGGCACCGCGAGGAGGTAGGGGGTTGTTTTGCCGGAACACACACACACCTACACACACACACACACACGTACACACACAACAACAACAACCGCCATTCGCCACTAAGTGGCGGTGACGTCACCACGACGCTTGTGCCAGGCTATGTGCACCGTGAGGCCACGTGAAGTGTCGAACGCCCGCTGGCAGGAGGTCACTGGGCAGACCCAGGTGCCACAGGTCGACTGACTGAGATGACTGGCTGATGCACCACCTGTGCCCCCTACTGTGCCAATCTGCTGTGCTTTAGCCACCCGGCGCTCCGCTCGTTGTTCTGAGCGTCGCTCCTCCGCCCTCCGTTGTTGTTGGAGGGCGACTGCCTCCAACTGCCCAGTAGCATCCTTCACGAGCCTCCTCCACAGAGGCCGATCTTGACACCGCTGGTACCAGTCATCGGCAAGTCCACTCAGCTCCACGTCCTCCTGTACCACATCACTCCATCTCTTCTCTAGCCCGTGCCGCGCCCGCTTAGCCCCCTCAATCCGGCCAAACAAAAGCTGTTTCGGCATGCGGTGGCTGGGCATGCGGGCTACATGACCCAGCCATCGCAGCCTTGCCTGCCGGAGGAGCTCACCGATGGGACCCTCCCCAGATCTTTCAAGGATTTGTGAGCTCCTCACACAATCCAGTCTGGTTAAACCCAGGATGGATCGTAGGCAGGCCAGCCTAAATGTTTCCAACCGGCGAAGATGTTCCATTAGGGGGGTCCACGTTTCGCAAGCGTAGAGAAGGGAGGGAATGACCGTGGCCGAGAAGACCTGAAGCTTAGTGTGGAGCGACAGACCAGGTAGCTTCCACACAGCGTTACGCAACCGATGAAAAGATATTGCCGCTCGACTGATTCGGAGTGAGACCTCTGCTGTTAAACTGGAGCCAGTCATAAGCACACTGCCCAGGTATGGGAAACTCTCCACTCTCTCCACAACTGCCCCATCACCGATTGGGAGTTGTGGGGGTGGAGTGTCCAATGGTACAAAATACCCAGGCAGGTGCTTAGTTTTGGTGGGGCTGATGGTAAGGCCCCACCTCTTAGTGGCACGCTCCAGTCTCAGCAGCAGCGTCTCCAACTCCTCCTCTGACTGAGCAGCAATTACCAAATCATCAGCATACATAACGTGGTTGAGCAATAGAGAGCCATCCCTTGACCGCACCCGGGCATCGATTAGCCTCCCATTATATCTGTACCATATGGAGATTCCCCCGGTACAGCTATTGAAGGCTTCACGAACTACGTGGTCAAAATAGATGTTAAATAATGTGGGAGCCAGAGGACATCCCTGTCGCACCCCAAGGTGTACAGGGAATGGCTCTGACTCCCAGCCACGTAGTTTTACCCGGGCCCGCTCACCATCATGAAGGTCCTTAATGATCGTGAGCAGAGGGTCAGGTACTCCAAAAGCACGAAGAACGACCCAGAGCCCAGGCCTACTGATGGTATCATAGGCCTTGCCCAGGTCAATAAAGCAGAGATGTAGGTCTTGTTGGAATTCCCTACACCTCTGCTGTAGCAGACGGACAGAAAATATGGCATCTGTGCAGGACCGCCCTTTCCTGAAACCGCATTGGGGCTCCGCAAGCCTCTCCTCAGCGTGCCTGGCAAGGCGATGCTGAATAATCCTTGCCAGGACCTTTCCCGGCACACTGAGGAGTGAGATGCCCCTGTAGTTGTTACAGTTTGTGCGGTCCCCCTTCTTAAAAAGGGGGACCACCAGGGCATCCTTCCAATCCTGCGGAACCCGTCCAGTGGTCCAGACTGTTGTTATGATGTCATATAGGGCAGTCTGTGCACAAACGCCACCCTCCCTCAGCATTTCGCTTGGGAGATCATCTCTGCCCGCTGCCTTTCCTGGTCTCAGACTCCGGATCGCCTTCAGTACTTCCTCAACAGATGGCACCTCAGCCAGCCACTCACAGGGGGTGACTTCTTCCAATATTTGAGGCACCGCAGCCTCAGCAGGGTCATCCTCACTTTGTGCCATGATGTTTTCCTGGCTGAGTGATTTTCCCTCCCCCAGGACCTCACAGAAATGCTCAGCAAATCTGCGAACCTGTTCCTGGGGGTCGGAGATTGGATCACACACACCTACACACACACACACGTACACAAACACACACACGTACACACACACACACGTACACACACACACACGTACACACACACACGTACACACACACACACACGTACACACACACACACGTACACACACATACACACACACACGTACACACACACACTCACACGTACACACACACGTACACGCACATATACACACACACACGTACACACACACACACACGTACACACACAAACACGTACACACACACACGTACACACACACACACGTACACACACACACACACGTACGTACACACACGTACACACACACACGTACACACACACGTACACACACACACACGTACACACTCACACCTACACCTACACACACACAAACACGTACACACACACGCACGTACACACACACAAACACGTACACACACACACACATCTACACACACACACACACGTACACACACACATACACAGACGCGGCACTGACCCGGAGCGCCCCTCCCCCAGGTCCTCTTCGATGGGCACAGCGGGCAGGGCCCTGAGCCCCCTCCTCCTCATGAGACTCACGGCATCCATCACTGCACCAGGCCCCTCGCCCGCCACGAACTGCCCATAGAACGTGGCCCTCATGGCCGCCTCGTGCAGCCTCGGGCCCAGCAGGCGACGTGACGCGCGCATCAGCTGTGACGTCACAACGGACACGCCTCCCTGGGGTCTGTGGGTCTCTGCGTGGTGAGTCTGTGGGTCTCTGTGTGGTGGTGAGTCTGTGGGTCTCTGTGTGATGAGTCTATGGGTCTCTGTGTGGTGAGTCTGTGGGTTTCTGTGTGGTGAGTCTGTGGGTCTCTGTGTGGTGAGTCTGTGGGTCTCTGTGTGGTGAGTCTGTGGGTCTCTGTGTGAGTGAGTCTATGGGTCTCTGTGTGGTGAGTCTGTGGGTTTCTGTGTGGTGAGTCTGTGGGTCTCTGTGTGGTGAGTCTGTGGGTCTCTGTGTGAGTGAGTCTGTGGGTCTCTGTGTGAGTGAGTCTGTGGGTCTCTGTGTGAGTGAGTCTATGGGTCTCTGTGTGGTGAGTCTGTGGGTTTCTGTGTGGTGAGTCTGTGGGTCTCTGTGTGGTGAGTCTGTGGGTCTCTGCGTGGTGAGTCTGTGGGTCTCTGTGTGGTGGTGAGTCTGTGGGTCTCTGTGTGGTGGTGAGTCTGTGGGTCTCTTTGTGGTGAGTCTGTGGGTCTCTGTGTGGTGAGTCTGTGGGTTTCTGTGTGGTGAGTCTGTGGGTCTCTGTGGGTGTCTGTGTGAGTGAGTCTGTGGGTCTCTGTGTGGTGAGTCTGTGGGTCTCTGTGTGGTGAGTCTGTGGGTCTCTGCGTGGTGAGTCTGTGGGTCTCTGTGTGGTGAGTCTGTGTGTCTCTGTGTGGTGGTGAGTCTGTGGGTCTCTGTGTGGTGAGTCTGTGGGTCTCTGTGTGGTGGTGAGTCTGTGGGTCTCTGTGTGGTGAGTCTGTGGGTCTCTGTGGGTGTCTGTGTGAGTCTATGGGTCTCTGTGTGGTGAGTCTGTGGGTCTCTGTGTGAGTGAGTCTGTGGGTCTCTGTGTGAGTGAGTCTATGGGTCTCTGTGTGGTGAGTCTGTGTGTCTCTGTGTGGTGAGTCTGTGTGTCTCTGTGTGGTGAGTCTGTGTGTCTCTGTGTGGTGAGTCTGTGTGTCTCTGTGTTGTGAGTCTGTGGGTCTCTGTGTGGTGAGTCTGTGTGTCTCTGTGTGGTGAGTCTGTGGGTCTCTGTGTGGTGAGTCTGTGGGTCTCTGTGTGGTGAGTCTGTGGGTCTCTGTGTGAGTGAGTCTGTGGGTCTCTGTGTGGTGAGTCTGTGGGTCTCTGCGTGGTGAGTCTGTGGGTCTCTGTGTGGTGAGTCTGTGGGTCTCTGTGTGGTGAGTCTGTGGGTCTCTGTGTGGTGAGTCTGTGGGTCTCTGTGTGGTGGTGGGTCTGTGGGTCTCTGTGTGGTGGTGAGTCTGTGGGTCTCTGTGTGGTGGTGAGTCTGTGGGTCTCTGTGTGGTGGTGAGTCTGTGGGTCTCTGTGTGGTGGTGAGTCTGTGGGTCTCTGTTTGGTGGTGAGTCTGTGGGTCTCTGTGTGAGTGAGTCTGTGGGTCTCTGTGTGGTGAGTCTGTGGGTCTCTGTGTGGTGAGTCTGTGGGTCTCTGTGTGGTGAGTCTGTGGGTCTCTGTTTGGTGGTGAGTCTGTGGGTCTCTGTGGTGGTGAGTCTGTGGGTGTCTGTGTGGTGAGTCTGTGGGTCTCTGTGTGAGTGTGAGTCTCTGTGTGGTGAGTCTGTGGGTCTGTGTGGTGAGTCTGTGGGTCTCTGTGTGGTGAGTCTGTGGGTCTCTGTGGGTCTCTATGAGTCTCTGTGTGGTGAGTCTGTGGTGAGTCTGTGTGGTGAGTCTGTGGTGAGTCTGTGGGTCTCTTTGTGATGAGTCTATGGGTCTCTGTGTGGTGAGTCTATGGGTCTCTGTGTGGTGAGTCTATGGGTCTCTGTGTGGTGAGTCTGTGTTTGTGTGGTGAGTCTGTGGGTCTCCGTGGGTGTCTGTGTGAGTCTATGGGTCTCTGTGTGGTGAGTCTGTGTGTTTCTGTGTGATGAGTCTGTGGGTGTTTGTGTGGTGAGTCTATGGGTCTCTGTGTGGTGAGGCTGTGGGTCTCTGTGTGGTGGTGAGTCTGTGGGTCTCTGTGTGGTGAGTCTGTGGGTCTCTGCGTGGTGAGTCTGTGGGTCTCTGTGTGGTGGTGAGTCTGTGGGTCTCTGTGTGGTGAGTCTGTGGGTCTCTGTGTGGTGAGTCTGTGGGTCTCTGCGTGGTGAGTCTGTGGGTCTCTGTGTGGTGAGTCTGTGGGTCTCTGTGTGGTGAGTCTATGGGTCTCTGTGTGGTGAGTCTGTGAGTCTCTGTGTGATGAGTCTGTGGGTCTCTGCGTGGTGAGTCTATGGGTCTCTGCTTGGTGAGTCTGTGGGTCTCTGTGTGGTGAGTCTGTGGGTCTCTGTGTGAGTGAGTCTGTGGGTCTCTGTGTGGTGAGTCTGTGGGTCTCTGTGTGGTGAGTCTGTGGGTCTCTGTGTGGTGGTGAGTCTGTGGGTCTCTGTGTGAGTGAGTCTGTGGGTCTCTGTGTGGTGAGTCTGTGGGTCTCTGTGTGGTGAGTCTGTGGGTCTCTGTGTGGTGGTGAGTCTGTGGGTCTCTGTGTGAGTGAGTCTGTGGGTCTCTGTGTGGTGAGTCTGTGTGTGTTTCTGTGTGGTGAGTTTGTGGGTCTCTGTGTGGTGAGTCTGTGGGTCTCTGTGGGTCTCTGTGTGGTGAGTCTGTGGGTCTCTGCGTGGTGAGTGTGTGGGTCTCTGTGTGGTGAGTGTGTGGGTCTCTGTGTGGTGAGTGTGTGGGTCTCTGTGTGGTGAGTGTGTGGGTCTCTGTGTGGTGAGTGTGTGGGTCTCTGTGTGAGTGAGTCTGTGGGTCTCTGTGTGGTGAGTCTGTGGGTCTCTGTGTGAGTGAGTCTGTGGGTCTCTGTGTGGTGAGTGTGTGGGTCTCTGTGTGGTGAGTGTGTGGGTCTCTGTGTGGTGAGTCTGTGGGTCTCTGTGTGAGTGAGTCTGTGGGTCTCTGTGTGAGTGATTCTGTGGGTCTCTGTGTGGTGAGTCTGTGGGTCTCTGTGTGGTGAGTCTGTGGGTCTCTGCGTGGTGACTCTGTGAGTCTCTGTGTGATGAGTCTGTGGGTCTCTGTGTGGTGAGTCTATGGGTCTGTGTGGTGAGTCTGTGGGTGTCTGTGTGGTGAGTCTATGGGTCTCTGCGTGTGTCTCTGTGTGGTGAGTCTGTAGGTATCTGTATGGTGAGTCTGTAGGTATCTGTATGGTGAGTCTGTGGGTCTCTGCGTGGTGAGTCTATGGGTCTGTGTGGTGAGTCTGTGGGTGTCTGTGTGGTGAGTCTGTGGGTCTCTGTATGGTGGCTCTGTGGGTCTATTTTTGGTGAGTCTGTGGGTCTCTGTGTGGTGAGTCTATGGGTCTCTGTGTGGTGAGTCTGTGGGTCTCTGTGTGGTGAGTCTGTGGGTCTCTGTGTGAGGGAGTCTGTGGGTCTCTGTGTGGTGAGTCTGTGGGTCTCTGTGTGGTGAGTCTGTGGGTCTCTGCGTGGTGAGTCTGTGGGTCTCTGTGTGGTGAGTCTATGGGTCTCTGTGTGGTGAGTCTGTGGGTCTCTGTGTGGTGAGTCTGTGGGTATCTGCGTGGTGAGTCTGTGGGTCTCTGTGTGGTGAGTCTGTGGGTCTCTGTGTGGTGAGTCTGTGGGTATCTGTGTAGTGAGTCTGTGGGTCTCTGTGTGGTGAGTCTGTGGGTCTCTGTGTGGTGAGTCTACGGGTCTATGTGTGGTGAGTCTGCGGGTCTCTGTGTGGTGAGTCTACGGGTCTATGTGTGGTGAGTCTGTGGGTCTCTGTGTGGGTCTTTGTGTGGTGAGTCTGTGGGTCTCTAGGTGGCGATTCTGTAGGTCTCTGTGTGGGTCTTTGTGTGGTGAGTCTGTGGGTCTGTGTGGTGAGTCTATGGGTCTGTGTGGTGAGTCTGTGGGTCTCTGTGTGGTGAGTTTGTGGCTCTCTGTGTGGCGAGTCGGTGGGTGTGTTAATGATTGGGCGAGCGAATGGGTCGTTGAGTTAATGAGTGAGCGTGTGGGTGAGTTAATAAGTCGGTGAGTGATGGGTGAGCGGCCGAATGGGCGAGTTAATGAACGAATGGGTGGGTGAGCGGGCGAGCGAATTGGTGGGTGAGTGAATGACCAAGTGGGTGGGTGAGTGGGCGAGCGATATGGTGGGTGGGTGAATGAGCGAGTGGGTGGGTGAGTTAACGAGCGAGTGGGTGGATGGGTGAGTTAACGAGTGAGTGGGTGGGTGAGTTAACGAGCGAGTGGGTGGGTGAGTTAACGAGTGAGTGGGTGGGTGAGTTAACGAGTGAGTGGGTGGGTGGGTGAGTTAACGAGTGAGTGGGTGGGTGAGTTAACGAGTGAGTGGGTGGGTGAGTTAACCAGCGAGTTAGTGGGTGGGTGAGTTAACTAGCGAGTGGGTGGGTGAGTTAACGAGTGAGTGGGTGGGTGAGTTAATGAGTGAGTGGGTGGGTGAGTTAACGAGTGAGTGGGTGGGTGAGTTAACGAGCGAGTGGATGGGCGAGTTAATCAGTGAGTGGGTGGGTGAGTTAACCAGCGAGTGGGTGGGTGAGGTAACGAGTGGGTGGGTGGGTGAGTTAACGAGAGAGTGGGTGAGTGAGTTAACCAGTGAGTGGGTGGGTGAGTTAACGAGTGAGTGGGTGGGTGAGTTCACTAGCGAGTGGGTGGGTGAGTTAACGAGTGAGTGAGTGGGTGAGTTAACGAGTGAGTGGGTGGGTGAGTTAACGAGTGAGTGGGTGGGTGAGTTAACCAGTGAGTGGGTGGGTGAGTTAACCAGTGAGTGGGTGGGTGAGTTAACTAGCGAGTGGGTGAGTGAGTTAACGAGTGAGTGGGTGGGTGAGTTAACGAGTGAGTGGGTGGGTGAGTTAACGAGTGAGTGGGTGGGTGAGTTAACGAGTGAGTGGGTGGGTGGGTGAGTTAACGAGTGAGTGGGTGGGTGAGTGAGTTAACGAGTGAGTGGGTGGGTGAGTTAACGAGAGAGTGGGTGGGTGAGTTAACCAGCGAGTTAGTGGGTGGGTGAGTTAACCAGCGAGTGGGTGGGTGAGTTAACGAGTGAGTGGGTGGGTGGGTGAGTTCACGAGTGAGTGGGTGGGTGAGATAACGAGCGAGTGAGTGGGTGAGTTCACGACCGAGTGGGTGGGTGAGTTCACGAGTGAGTGGGTGGGTGAGTTAACCAGCGAGTGAGTGGGTGGGTGAGTTAACGAGTGAGTGAGTGGGTAAGTTAACGAGTGAGTGGGTGGGTGAGTTAACGAGTGAGTGGGTGGGTGAGATCACGAGTGAGTGGGTGGGTGAGTTAACCAGCGAGTGGGTGGGTGAGTTAACGAGTGAGTGGGTGGGTGAGTTAACGAGCGAGTGGGTGGGTGAGTTAACCAGCGAGTGGGTGGGTGAGTTCACGAGTGAGTGGGTGGGTGAGTTAACCAGCGAGTGGGTGGGTGAGTTAACGAGTGAGTGAGTGGGTGAGTTCACCAGCGAGTGGGTGGGTGAGTTAACGAGTGAGTGGGTGAGTGAGTTCACGAGTGAGTGGGTGGGTGAGTTAACGAGTGAGTGGGTGAGTGAGTTCACGAGCGAGTGGGTGGGTGAGTTAACCAGCGAGTGGGTGGGTGAGTTAACGAGTGAGTGAGTGGGTGAGTTAACCAGCGAGTGAGTGGGTGAGTGAGTTCACGAGCGAGTGGGTGGGTGAGTTAATCAGTGAGTGGGTGGGTGAGTTAACTAGCGAGTTAGTGGGTGGGTGAGTTAATCAGTGAGTGAGTGGGTGAGTTAATGAGCGAGTGGGTGGGTGAGTTAACCAGTGAGTGTGTGGGTGAGTTAACGAGTGAGTGGGTGGGTGAGATCACGAGCGAGTGGGTGAGTGAGTTAACCAGCGAGTGGGTGAGTGAGTTAACGAGCGAGTGGGTGGGTGGTGGAGTTTGTGGGGGGGTGAGTGGTGGACGCGATGGCGACGAACCCAGAGCGAGTGCCTCGTCAGCAGCTGGGAGGAGCACAGCCGCAGGACGATCAGCGCCCGGAGAATCTCCCAGGTGGACTTTGAGCTGAGCGCCAGCCCGTCGCCGAAGTCCACCTCGCCTCGCCCGGGCGCTCCGTCCGGGGGGTCCCTCGCTCCGTCCTGGGGGTCCCTCGCTCCGTCCTGGGGGTCTCTCGCTCCGTCCTGGGGGTCCCTCGCTCCGTCCGGGGGGTCCTTCGCTCCGTCCTGGGGGTCTCTCGCTCCGTCCGGGGGGTCTCTCGCTCCGTCCTGGGGGTCTCTCGCTCCGTCCTGGGGGTCTCTCGCTCCGTCCTGGGGGTCTCTCGCTCCGTCCGGGGGGTCTCTCGCTCCGTCCTGGGGCTCCCTCGCTCCGTCAGGATGGACCTGAATGGCCTTGAGCTGGTCCGCCTTCGCTGAGAGTGAATTTGCTCCGTCAGGATCGACCTGAATGGCCTTGAACTGGTCCGCCTTCTCTGTGAGCGACTTTGCTCCGTCAGGATGGACCTGAACGGCCTTGAACTGGTCCGCCTTCGCTGAGAGTGAATTTGCTCCGTCAGGATGGACCTGAATGGCCTTGAACTGGTCCGCCTTCACTGAGAGTGAATTTACTCCGTCAGGATGGACCTGAATGGCCTTGAACTGGTCCGCCTTCGCTGAGAGCGACTTTGCTCCGTCAGGATGGACCGTTAAGGCCTTGAACTGGTCCACCGTCGCTGAGAGTGAATTTGCTCCGTCAGGATGGACCTGAATGGCCTTGAACTGGTCCGCCTTCGCCGTGAGCGGCTTTGCTCTGTCAGGATGGACCTGAATGGCCTTGAACTGGTCCACCGTCGCTGAGAGCGACTTTGCTCCGTCAGGATGGACCTGAATGGCCTTGAACTGGTCCGCCTTCTCTGTGAGCGACTTTGCTCCGTCAGGATGGACCTGAATGGCCTTGAACTGGTCCGCCTTCGCCGCTACTAGCGACTTTGCTCCGTCAGGATGGACCGTTAAGGCCTTGAACTGGTCCGCCTTCGCTGAGAGCGACTTTGCTCCGTCAGGATCGACCTGAATGGCCTTGAACTGGTCCGCCTTCGCTGTGAGTGAATTTGCTCCGTCAGGATGGACCGTTAAGGCCTTGAACTGGTCCGCCTTCCCCGTGAGCGACTTTGCTCCGTCAGGATGGACCTGAATGGCCTTGAACTGGTCCGCCTTCTCTGTGAGCGACTTTGCTCCGTCAGGATGGACCTGAACGGCCTTGAACTGGTCCGCCTTCGCTGAGAGTGAATTTGCTCCGTCAGAATCCACCTGAATGGCCTTGAACTGGTCCGCCTTCGCCGCTACTAGCGACTTTGCTCCGTCAGGATGGACCTGAATGGCCTTGAACTGGTCCGCCTTCTCTGTGAGCGACTTTGCTCCGTCAGGATGGACCTGAACGGCCTTGAACTGGTCCGCCTTCGCTGAGAGTGAATTTGCTCCGTCAGGATGGACCGGCCCGGCGCCTCCTCGTCCGCGATTGGCCGAGGCGGAGGGCGCCGAGGGCAGCCAATCCCAGGCGCCGGGGCGCGTGGCCGCGCGGGGCAGTCGTCGCCATGGCGACAGCCGCGAGGTCAGCGATGACATCGACATTCGCTGGCGGGAGGGGGGGGGGGGGCAACGGGGACGGGTCGGAGGGAGAGAGACGTGAAGACTTTAGGACTCTTAGAGACACGTAGAGACCCATAGAGACCCATAGAGACCCATAGAGACCCATAGAGACCCATAGAGACCAAGACTCTTAGAGACCCATAGAGACCCATAGAGACCCATAGAGACCCATACTCATAGAGACCCATAGAGACCCATAGAGACCCATAGAGACTCATAGAGACCAAGACCCATAGAGACCCATAGAGACCCATAGAGACCCATAGAGACTCATAGAGACCCATACTCATAGACACCCATAGAGACCCATAGAGACCCATAGAGACCCATAGAGACTCATAGAGACCCATAGAGAACCATACTCATAGAGACCCATACTCATAGAGACCCATAGAGACCCATACTCATAGAGACCCATAGAGACCCATAGAGACCCATACTCATAGAGACCCATAGAGACCCATAGAGACCCATAGAGACCCATAGAGACTCATACTCATAGAGACCCATACTCATAGAGACCCATAGAGACCCATAGAGACTCATAGAGACCCATAGAGACTCATAGAGACCCATACCCATAGAGACCCATACTCATAGAGACCCATAGACCCATAGAGACTCATAGAGACCCATAGAGACTCATAGAGACCCATAGAGACCACTAGAGACCCATAGAGACCAAGACTCATAGAGACCCATACCAATAGAGACCAAGACTCATAGAGACCCATAGAGACTCATAGAGACCCATAGAGACCCATAGAGACTCATAGAGACCCATAGAGACCCATAGAGACCCATAGAGACCAAGATTCATAGAGACCCATAGAAAACCATAGAGACCCTTAGAGACTCATAGAGACCCATACTCATAGACACCCATAGAGACCCATAGAGACCCATAGAGACCCATAGAGACTCATACTCATAGAGACCCATACTCATAGAGACCCATAGAGAACCATAGAGACTCATAGAGACCCATAGAGACCAAGACTCATAGAGACCCATAGAGACCCATAGAGACCCATAGAGACCCATAGAGACCCATACTCATAGAGACTCATAGAGACCCATACTCATAGAGACCCATAGAGACCCATAGAGACTCATAGAGACCCATAGAGACCCATAGAGACTCATAGAGACCCATAGAGACCAAGACTCATAGAGACCCACACTCATAGAGACCCATAGAGACTCATAGAGACCAAAACTCTTAGAGACCCATAGAGACCCATAGAGACCCATAGAGAACAATACTCTTAGAGACCCATAGAGACCCAGACTCATAGAGTCCCATACTCATAGAGACCCATAGAGACTCATAGAGACCAAAACTCTTAGAGACCCATAGAGACCCATAGAGACCCATAGAGACCAATACTCTTAGAGACCCATAGAGACCCAGACTCATAGAGTCCCATACTCATAGAGACCAAGACTCATAGAGACCCATAGAGACCCATAGAGACCCATACTCATAGAGACCCATAGAGACCCATAGAGACCCATACTCATAGAGAACCATAGAGACCCATAGAGACCAAGACTCATAGAGAACCATAGAGACCCAGACTCATACATACCCAAGACTCATAGAGACCCAAGACTCATAGAGACCCATACTCATTGAGACCGATAGAGACCAAGACTCATAGAAACCCATAGAGACCCATAGAGTCCCATACTCATAGAGACCCATACTCATAGAGACTCATAGAGACCCATACTCATAGAGACCCATAGGGACCCAGACTCATAGAGACCGAAAGAGACCCATGCTCATAGAGACCCATAGAGACCTATACTCATAGAGACCCATAGAGACCCATACTCATAGAGACCCAGACTCAGAGACCCATAATCATGGAGACCCATTGAGACCCATAATTATAGGGACCCATACTCATAGAGACCCATAGAGAACCATAGAGACTCATAGAGACCCATAGAGACCAAGACTCATAGAGAACCATAGAGACCCATAGAGACCAAGACTCATAGAGAACCATAGAGACCTAGACTCATACATACCCAAGACTCATAGAGACCCAAGACTCATAGAGACCCATACTCATTGAGACCGATAGAGACCAAGACTCATAGAAACCCATAGAGACCCATAGAGTCCCATACTCATAGAGACCCATACTCATAGAGACTCATAGAGACCCATACTCATAGAGACCCATAGGGACCCAGACTCATAGAGACCGAAAGAGACCCATGCTCATAGAGACCCATAGAGACCTATACTCATAGAGACCCATAGAGACCCATACTCATAGAGACCCAGACTCAGAGACCCATAATCATGGAGACCCATTGAGACCCATAATTATAGGGACCCATACTCATAGAGACCCATACTCACAAAGACCCACACCCACAGAGACCCACAGACACCCACAGAGATTCACAGAGACCCACAGAGAGCCACAGAGACCCACACTCACAGAGACCCACACTTATAGAGACCCACACTTATTGAGACCCACACTCATAGAGACCCACACCCACAGAGACCCACAGTGATCCACACTCATAGAGACCCATACTCACAGAGACCCACACCCAGAGAGACCCACAGGGACCCACACTCATAGAGACCCACAGAGACCTACAGAGACCCACACTCACAGAAATCCACACCCACAGACACCCACAGAGACCCACAGAAATTCACAAAGACCCAAAGAGACCAACAGAGACCCACACTCACAGAGACCCACACTCAGAGAGACCCACACTCACAGAGACCCACACTCACGGAGACCCACAGAGACCCACACTCATAGAGACCCACACTCACAGAGACCCACACTCATAGAGACCCACAGAGACCCACACTCACAGAGACCCACACTCATAGAGACCCACAGAGACCCACACTCATAGAGACCCACACTCACAGAGACCCACACTCAAAGAGACCCACAGAGACCCATACTCACAGAGACCCACACCCAGAGAGACCCACAGGGACCCACACTCATAGAGACCCACAGAGACCCACAGAGACCCACACTCACAGAAATCCACAGCCACAGACACCCACGGAGACCCACAGAAATTCTCAAAGACCCAAAGAGACCCACACTCACAGAGACCCACAGAGACGCACACCCACAGAGACCCACAGCGATCCACACTCACAGAGACCCACAGAGATTCACGGAGACCCACAGAGACCCACAGAGACCCACACCCACAGAAACCCACAGCGATCCACACTCACAGAGACCCACAGAGACCCACACTCACAGAGACCCACAGCGATCCACACTCACAGAAATCCACACCCACAGACACCCACAGAAATTCACAAAGACCCAAAGAGACCAACAGAGACCCACACTCACAGAGACCCACACTCACAGAGACCCACACTCAGAGAGACCCACACTCATAGAGACCCACACTCACGGAGACCCACAGAGACCCACACTCACAGAGACCCACACTCACAGAGACCCACACTCATAGAGACCCACAGAGACCCACAGAGACCCACAGAAATTCACAAAGACCCACAGAGACCCACAGAAATTCACAAAGACCCACAGAGACCCACAGAGACCCACACTCACAGAGACCCAAACTCACAGAGACCCACACTCACAGAGACCCACAGAGACTCACAGACACCCACAGAGACTCACGCTCACAGAGACCCACACTCACAGAGACCCACAGAGACTCACACTCACAGAGACCCACAGAGACTCACAGACACCCACAGAGACTCACGCTCACAGAGACCCACACTCATAGAGACCCACAGAGACCCACACTCACAGAGACCCACAGAGACTCACAGACACCCACAGAGACTCACGCTCACAAAGACCCACACTAAGACTAAACTGTGTTTATTGTACCAGGGTGTACGGCCCCAGTAAGCATCTGCTGTGTAGTAGGATGTCTCTCTTGTCAGATGCGACATGCACATCACACATCATAGCAGCTCAACCACGTGGCTGATGTCCTTATCATCATCATCATCAGCACTGTGTTGACATTTAGAGCAGCAGCCAAACATTCTGAACGCAGAGTGGTGATGTCGAATCTCAACTTGGAAGGTTGAAAAACCGGAGGACCTGGACACGTGAGTGTGAGACGCAGACTCCAAATATACAGCAGGACCCACCACCTCCTGCAGACCAGGCGAGGTAGTCAACATCTCACAGAAACCCACGACCTCTTGTAGACCAGGCGAGGTAGTGAACATCTCACCACGGGGAGAGAGAGAGACACAGACTCCAAATATACAGCAGGACCCACGACCTCCTGCAAACTAGGCGAGGTAGTCAACATCTCACCATGGAGAGAGAGAGAGAGAGACGCAGACTCCAAATATACAGCAGGACCCACGACCTCCTGTATATCAGGCGAGGTAGTCAACATCTCACAGAAACCCATGACCTCCTGCAGACAAGGCGAGGTGGTCAACATCTCACTACGGGGAGAGAGAGAGACACAGACTCCAAATCTACAGCAGAACCCACGACCTCCTGTATACCAAGCGAGGTAGTCAACATCTCACCACGGGGAGAGAGAGACGCAGACTCCAAATATACAGCAGGACCCACGACCTCCTGTATACCAGGCGAGGTAGTCAACATCTCACCACGGTGAGAGAGAGACGCAGACTCCAAATATACAGCAGGACCCGCGACCTACTGTAGACCTGGCGAGGTAGTCAACATCTCACCATGGAGAGAGAAAGACACAGACTCCAAATATACAGCAGGACCCACGACCTCCTGTATACCAGGCGAGGTAGTCAACATCTCACAGATATCCACGACCTCCTGCAGACCAGGCGAGGTAGTCAACATCTCACCATGGAGAGAGAAAGACACAGACTCCAAATATACAGCAGGACCCACGACCTCCTGTAGACCTGGCGAGGTAGTCAACATCTCACAACCCACGACCTCCTGTAGACAACGCGAGGTAGTCAACATCTCACAGAA